CATCTACTAATATTCACTTAGGCACAAGAGAGACCAGACTACATCAAAAGCAGAAGCAAAGAAACATTCAATATCCTTGATCTTTGGAATACTACACTAGAAGAAATTAATTCCTGCTGTAACACTACTGAGTCTGGGCAACTGTTCTCATTTTATAACTGATTTATTGTGCTTCCATACAACATTCTGTGTCCAGTCAAAAATATCAGGCCAAGTACCCGAAAGAAGGCCTCTAAACCCTGATTTTAGTACATGGTCTGACCACTGCCTGATTTGCAGCCTCCTCAGAATCCAAGGCAGTTGCAAATTATTGGCACCAACAGAAACTGAGCCTGATATAATCAGTTGTTTCATTGTAAATCATAAAAATAATTTAGATTGGAAGGGACCTTTGGAGATCATCTAGTCCAACCTCTTGCTCAAAGCAAGACGAGCTCTGAAGTTAGGTCATACCACTCAGCACCTTGTTGCACAATCCACCATCTCTCTGAGCATGTATTTCTGTGTTTAACCACTTTTACTGTGAATTTTTTTCTTTATATCTAATCAGAATTTCCCTTGCTGGAACTTGAGATCATTGGTACTCCTATCTTTCCTGTGCATCTTTGAGAAGGCCCTGACTTTGTTCTACAATTCCCTTTCAGGCAGGGAAAGCGAGCAATTAGAGCTTCTTCAGAGCTAAACAAATCCAGTTCACTCAGAGTGCTAAGTTAAGTAAATTTCTAGCTCTAATGATATTTCACTGTTTGTTTAGATAGTAACTGATACATTTGTGTGACCAGAATTTAAATTCTGAATCAAGTCAGTAGTCTACAGCACTACATATGTAACAAACATACTCTTCTCAGAAGGGCAATGATCATCTTGAAGCATGAATGCTCTTTATCATCCCTACTCAGAAGGAATGAAAACCTAAAACAACTTACCTTCACATTTACTATTACCTGTAAAACCAAAGCAAAATACAAAAAATCCACTCATCTTTGGAAATGTCTTACCATTGGTCCCACTGGTCCCACCACTCCAGCTTCACCCTGAGGACAGACACACATAGAGCAATGACAAGGAGAACTCCTGCAGTATGGAGCAGAGATGGCTGGTAACAAGGCCACCAAACATTCTGGAGGAACACAACACAGTGTTAGCTCACCTTCTCTCCTTTTCTTCCTACTAATTCAGTTAAAGATCCATCAGCAGTAATGATAGCTCCTGGTTCTCCCTTTTCACCCTGCAATTATCAAAGTTATTTTACAGTGTTTAGAAAGCAGTTCTCAATGAACGAGAAGAAGTCAAAGCAGCACTATTGCTGTCTGAAGAATGGCAGTAGACAGTAGTTCTCAGTTGGATTACTACGTGCAACATGCTGTGTTCAAAGAAGATCTCTGCCAAAGGCTGTCAGACTATTGGTGTCTTCTTTTGTACCATCATCTTAAACAGTGGTCAGGAAATCCTGCTGGAAATGTAAAATCTCAATAGAACATCAAACGTTCCTGATTTTACTATCAGGAAAGCATGAATCATTCTCTTTATATGCCTGGCATGATGCAGCCTTGTTACCTTTAAACAAAGGCAAACTCTCAGCACTCAAATGATGACCCTTTACATTCCACTTCTTCAAAGGGTAATTCTATTAAATAATGGCACCATGAATTATTACTCCCCAATGCCAGTGCATGGTTCCCACTCTGGGCCTTTCAGCTGTAACTTTCTTCCTCCTGGCTCAGGCAGCTTAATACAACAGCTTTCCCAAGATCTCTCATGGAAGAAATCTGGGCTGAAACTAATAATTGCATTGCTGATTAAAACAACAGTCCAGGCTATAGCACTTCCACTGAGCAGGAAGTGCTATAACTCAGTTCTTCTTGCAAGTTACATCTTTGGAGTCTGTGGAGTCTTCCTGAGGATACTTTGGAAGTATCCAAAGTATCTCCCAAAGGCTTGTCTTCCCTGACTTTATCTTCTATGATTTATGGACCCGAGGTTGCCACAGGAGCATTTCACGATCCTTAAAGCAAAATGCTCTAGGTGTTTGTGGAGCTTCATTGCAGCTCCCAACTTCATCACTTGCACATAACCTAGTGTTCATGCCTCAGAAATACCACTATGTCATCGGTGGGTACAAAATATCATGGCTTCCAAGTTTTGAGTTCCTTCCAGTGTGGACAGCAGAAGGCAACACACCCTCACATCTCCCCCAGCAAATAAAAACCACAACCCAAACCAAAAACCACCCAGCTGGTTTTAAGGTTGAGCTTGATCACTTTATGTACTCCGATAAAGAACAGGAATCCTTATAACCAAAGGGGACTGGTATTTGTGGCCTGGGTTATCTCCTTCTGAGCAATGAAGATGCTGTTCATCTACAATCCCATTTCAAGCCATAATTAACCACTTTCAAGTCTGTCTACTACCTGTGAGAAAGAGGTGTCAGCTACTTACAAAGAATAAGCAGAAAGTGTTTTTTGGTTTTCTTTTTGTTATCCCCAAGACTGTAATAACTTAGATGTTCCTCTCCCCTGCTTCCTGCAGGTGGGTAAGAAGGGGAAATAGAACAACAGCTGCAATATTTATAAAATACCAGGGTCAGTCCTTAGTCACCTCTCAACAGTGCTGCAGAATAACCAGTGCTGTGCAGAAATCAGAGAAAGGTTCCTAAGGAGAGAGCTCCCTGAGTCTTTCTTTGGGAATGGAAAACTGCAGCCCTCATTCTGTAGGCAAAGCCCTCTGTGCCAATGGAGGAGGAAAACAGTAATCTTTTTTTTTTTTTTCCATTTGGCCTTTTGGTTAGGATCCCAGCACGTCAGCACAGACAATGGACTTGCAAGAAGAGGTCATGGTTAATGGTTATGTAAACTTATTCTGGTAAGTGCACGCTGCGGTGCGGAATTTCAACACTGGGGCAGGAACATTAGCTCTCAATTAGTATCACATTGAGTCATTTTATTTAGTACTCTTTCAATTTCCAGTTAGTAAATTTTGCACATAAAATAATTATTAATATCCCAATCCCTAGTAAAATTAGAATCATTAAACTTTTAATATCACTATTTGTTATCTGACACATGTTATACTACGTACTTTTCCCTAAGTGTTTTCTCTTACCTGTTGTCCTTTGATTCCTTGTGATCCAGGCAAACCAGTATCACCCTTCGGTCCCCGAGGGCCCTAAGGAAAACCAAGTCCATAAATCCCTGGTGAGATCTGCTGAGAATATGGAGCTAAGCCATTTAACTAAAAGGGATTTTAAGTAACTGGAAAACTTGAACTTGGATCACTCTGGTTGCAATCTAAGAACTCTTCCAAGACTAAATTGCTGTCTGAACCAAAGTAATCCCTAAACCAAGTATCACACAGGGAGAATCTGTTAAAAGGAACAAAGCCAAAACTCCCTGATGTTTCTCACAGTGTAGATGACACACATATTCAAAGAGAAATATGCAAATATTAATAAGAATGGAAATTCAGCCTAAAATTCTCTACTTCCTCCTTACTTCTCTATTCTAAATAAAAAATATTTTTAACTGAAATAGAGCTTATATATTTGAAAATGAGATAATTTATGCATCTGTTCTGTGGTGAACACATTCTGCTCAGATCACATTTTGTCTTAAAATCTTCCATTATAAGTGCATTTAGAAATATTTTCTTTTCACCCAACAAGAACCAAATTCAAGTCTACATGACTCCTGCATTAGTTAAGAGATAAAGAAAAGACCTGAGGTAAGAACAAGATTGATATTTTCATGTCTGGAGACATTCTGTAAATGACAGAGAGACTAAGAATTCGTTTTATTATTTTCTAAATGCTATCAAGCAGCTCCTCCTCAAATGAAAAGTATTTTTAAGGATTTTTCCCCCCTTTCTTTGGCTTCCTGTGCAGTCCAAAATACTCAGGACTTAGTAAACAACCTTCTGTAGAATTTTGGGTAGTTTGCCAGCATTTTGTCAACATCTTTTGTCAGCTTTCCCAATTGTCTCCTTAGTTATTGTCAGGCAATAGACAAAGGATCCTGAGACCCTATGTACACTTTCAAGCTGCAAAACAATCATAACAAGGGAAAAGAATTCTTTCACACTCTATAGAATATAAATATAATAGTTTAAACATTACTGTATGAAGTCACAAGCCAGATAATGTTCACATAGCACAATAGGTAGGTAGCATAGTATAAGGCACCTTTTGCCACTATGGCTGTGCAACGCTTCCATGGTGGCACTGGTATGTTATTATAAAAAATAATAAAAGTTTCCTAAAGGAGGTAATAAAAAGGGTACACCTCATAGGGCTTTACTGCACTCTGTCGTGGTGACAAAAAAAGCCTAAAGAATAATATAATTACATGTACATATGAAGATAACTTGTTCCATTTGTTTCTCATAAATGGCGTCTTTTTCTTAAGTAGTAATTTTTCATCAGAATCAATTACATTTAGATTGAAACTACAGAACTGATTCTGAGATAAGCAGAAATATGAGATATGCATATTACAGTATATTTCATTTCCAGCAGAGTTAATTTCTACCATAGCTGTTGATTCCATAAAAATCTACAGTCTCTCATATGAAAATTTATTAGCTTTCGTGTAAATTCTGTATAATATAAATTTTTGAAATATTAAACTATATTGAAAAATACTTACTTAAATCCAAGAAACATAATACTTACAGGAAATCCTGGTAGACCTGGCTTACCATCTGGCCCCTGAAAAATGCAAAAAAACCACCCTCTTAGAAACGCACGTTAGAGACCTGCAAAATAGAGTATGCATTTCCCATTTATTGTGTAATTTGTGAATATTAACTGGTCTGAAACTCAAATAAGAACTTCATTCAGGCAGTGGTAAAGTTGTGAACATTCCACAACAGCCTATACTTCTAACTCTTCCTGGGACATTAGCATTTACTTTCCAAAACTGAATGGACAGAGATCGAGGAAAGGCTGAGGAAAGGTGACATTTTTCACATATGAAAGGCATGCAACCATAATTCAGCCTCCTTTGAATTTTTTCCAGATTCCAGCACAGAGATCCCAGCAGCCCTCCCACCTTTGCCATTTTGCTCCTGGTGGATAGAAATATGGATTTGGATTTGTAGGGAGCTTATTTAAGATTGCCCCACTGTGATATCTGCAGAGAGACACATTAGTTCTAGTTCACCTCACCTGGATGTGCACTCAACTGCAACTCTTTCCTGACTAGGGTGAGCTCTGAGACTGAGGTTCAAAGACCTTTCCAATTACAACTGGAATTATTACAGACCTACTGCTTTCTGTTGAGACTGTAACAATAATTACAAAGCAATGTGTCTCCGCTGGGGTCAGGAGCTCACTCGTCTGTGTTGTTTTGAGAACCCATCATCTAAGGCCTGAACAGCAACTACCTGCAGTAAGATTCCTCATGCCAGGACCCGTATTATCCTGGCATCCTATTATGTCCAGGGATTGGGAGAATCAGGTCTCTTGAGCCCTCAATATAAGAAGGATATGGACCTGATGGAGCGGGTCCAGAGGAGGGCCACAAGGATGATCAGGGGGTTTTGGAGCACCTCTGCTACGAGGACAGGCTGAGGGAGCTGGGGTTGTTCAGCCTGGAGAAGAGGAGGCTCTGGAGAGACCTAATAGCGGCCTTCCAGTACCTGAGGGGGGCCTACAAGAAGGCTGGGGAGAGCCTGTTTACAAAGGCCTGCAGTGACAGGACGAGGGGAAATGGCTTTAAACTTGAGAAAAGCAGATTTAGATTAGACATTAGGAATAAGTTCTTTACTATGAGGGTGGTGCAGCACTGGAACAGGTTGCCCAGGGAGGTGGTTGAGGCCCCTTCCCTGGAGATATTCAAGGAGAGGCTCGATGAGGCCCTGGGCAACCTGGTCTAGTTGGGGGTGTCCCTGCTGACTGCAGGGGGGGTTGAACTAGATGACCTTGAAGGTCTCTTCCGACCCAGATGATTCTATGATTTAGGAAACACACCAAAATACTCTTCCACAAAAGCTGCTTTACCACAAGCACAGCTGGACACAGCCACAATAATATGATGTTGTCCTACCATGGGACGAGCGGAAAAGAGGCACGCTGGGCTAACACATAAAGGTTAAAATCTGTTATTGGAGCTAATGCCCTTCTTCCCAGTTCACTGACAGATTTAGTAAACATTTGTTTTGGCACAGTTACATTAATAAGATACTTTTTTTTTTTTCCCCCCAAACTATGGCTACTTAGAGTGAAATCCTGGCTCTCAGGTACAGATATTCTGATCATCTTTGTTTCATTGGGGATTGAATATGAGGGAGAGAACACTGCTCACAAAAAAGAAAACAGACAAAATAAAATAAACAAACAACAGCCCACAAATGAAAATAGCTGTGAAGTAAGATGCTTCATTTGGGGGGGTTATAATTTTGCAAAGTCCAATATAGTGTAGACTTTCAGGCAAGTTTGACTCCACAGCTTGGAAAAGGCAGATTTCTCTTTGGATCCAGTGCTAGGAATTTGAAATTTTACCAAGAAGCATTCAGAATTTCAAATATTTGACTGAACTATTTTGCAGCTACACTCCTAGCTGCAAAACAGAACCTGAAATCGCACATCTGTTCTTCTCATGAAATGTCCAGCTTTTCATCCACAGCTATAATTGCTGTGAGACTGAATTTATACATGGGAGCCTAATATTCCTAGTTGCAGTCTCAAGCAGAACTGAACAAAATACTTTATCCCAACATTTTGTGACCTGAAAAACAGGAATAGAAAAAAAAAAAAAGGGAAGAAAATGCTATGTAAATTTTGGTCCCTATTTTTGCATCAGTTCCACATTTATGTTATTCTGAGCACATAGTTCAGGTTCAGAGCTAAGTCGGTTCCTTTAATTCATACAAACATGTAAAAGCAATTCATTCCTACAGAATTCAGTTCTGCCCTGAAGAACTTCCATCGAGCTTAGTGCTGAAGTTCACAGGAACACAATTCTAAAGCACAGGAAACTCAGCTCTAGTCAATACTGAAAAGGAGACACTGAAGAGAGAGCAAATCTGAAGGCTTAATAAAGCAGCATATACTCACCGGAGGCCCAAGCAGTCCTTTAATTCCAGTAATGTTAAAAATTCCATCTGTATCATTGAGTAGCAGCTGAAAAAGTGGTTAAGGAACAGGTTATTTCAAATACCAATTGATTATCTAGGGTACACATAGATTTTTAGAAATCTATAGGTAGTTAAAGCGTCCCTTCGTAACTATTGGGAGAAAAACACAAATAAGCCCAAAGAAAATGCCCTCTTCCAATTTTTATTATACATCTGGAATAACAAAACCTAGAATTTGTTTTATACTTCTTATGTAAGGATCTCAGAATGCTTCCAAAACTTTAATTAACTGACTCATTTTTAATTTGAAAACTATAATGCCTGAAGTCATTTCTCCTCAGCAAAATAAATATCAGAATGAAGGTTTCATACTCTAATATGTCACTGGTATTCCAAGATGGTGAATCTGTCTGATCACACTCATCCTGCCATAGAGTTGACATTATAGTTATATTCTGGACATGTCTGCATTACACCATACAGTGCTGGGCAGTGATTCCTAAGTCAGCTCTGATTATGCTGCTGTGTCTGCAATCAATGAAACCAGTTTGGATCTCCAAAACAGAATAGTCACTTGGATGTGGAGCAGCACCCAAACTGATCAGCTCTGGGTCTCAAGAAGCCTGACCAGAGCAGTATAATAGCAATGCTGCTACAGTGCTTCTTATCCTGGAGTTAGTGAGCTCAGCATCAGGTCAGGTATTTCTCCATAATTTGACCACAGAATCAGAATAATGAAGGTGAGTAGTGACCTCTGGACATAACCTGGCCCAACATCTAATTGGATCAGGTTGCTCAGGGACTTGCCCAGTTAAGTCTTCACCACCTCTGAGGATGGAAAAGACACCATTGTTCTGGGCAACAAGAACTGGACAATATTTGAGTATCGTAAAGGTGAAAAGTTTTTGCTTACGTCTAATTGGAGCTTCCCATATTCCAACTTGTGTCTGTTACATCTTATAATATTGACATATGCCTCCAAGAAGAGGGTGCCTCCATCTTTTTATCCTCTGATTAGGTAGTTGCAGAGAGCCACAAACTCTCCCCTTAGCCTTCCTTCTTCCAGGCTGAGCAGACCCTGTTCTATCTGTGCTTTGGTCCCCTGACCATCTTGGCAGCCCTGCACAGGGCTCGCTCCGTTATGTCAATATCTTGTACTAAGGAACTCACAACTGGATGGTTTTGGTACTCCAGAACCAGTCTCATGAATGCCAGACACAACCCTCTGAGTCCACCAGTTAAGCCAGTTTTCCACCTATTTTATCACCTGCTCACCCACTTTATAGGTCATCAATGTGTTTCTAGCAGGACTACGGGAGACCGCACCAGAAGCCTTGCTAAAATCAGGGTGCACAACATCCAGTGCCCATCCCTCATCCACAGACAAGCAATCATTTTGATCAGGAGTGAATTGCTGTTAATAAATCAGCGTTGGCTGCTCCCAGTCAGAGCCTTGTCCTGATGTTATGATCAGGCTTTCATTTTGGTACCCTGTTCTATCTGTGCTTTGGTCCCCTGACCATCTTGGCAGCCCTGCACAGGGCTCGCTCCGTTATGTCAATATCTTGTACTAAGGAACTCACAACTGGATGGTTTTGGTACTCCAGAACCAGTCTCATGAATGCCAGACACAACCCTCTGAGTCCACCAGTTAAGCCAGTTTTCCACCTATTTTATCACCTGCTCACCCACTTTATAGGTCATCAATGTGTTTCTAGCAGGACTACGGGAGACCGCACCAGAAGCCTTGCTAAAATCAGGGTGCACAACATCCAGTGCCCATCCCTCATCCACAGACAAGCAATCATTTTGATCAGGAGTGAATTGCTGTTAATAAATCAGCGTTGGCTGCTCCCAGTCAGAGCCTTGTCCTGATGTTATGATCAGGCTTTCATTTTGGTTTCAGATAGCTACCTTTCTGGTTTAATAGATGCTCCCAATACTATATCATATGGTCATACATTACAATTCAGACAGTGTGTAAGGCCTTGCTCCATATAAATGCTGCAGGTGAAAAGAGATCCTTACTCAGTTTTGGTTATTTGTTTCATATAGATGCTCCCAATACTATATGATATGGTCGTACATTACAATTCAGACAACATGTAAGGGCTTGCTCCACACAAATGCTGTAGGTGAAAAGAGATCCTTACTCAGTTTTGGTTATTTGTTTCATTTCTTTCACTCCAACAGTCCCGTTTATTGTATGACAGTTTAGCCTTGTTTTAGATTGAGAAATATACACTGAATCTCCCTAGAGTCTTGAAGGAGTCCACTCCTTTAGCAGGCAAGCCATGCCACCCATTTCAATATAAGGCTCTGTGTGCAGCAGGCTATTCCCATTCCATGGAATGAAAATCTTCCAAATTTCAGAAGGCCAGGGCAGGGCATGCCTTCAGGTGCCAAGGATTCACTTGGCACATGAATAAGCGTGTTGTCACTGAGGTATTGTGAAACCTGAATGCCTCTTCTGCTTGTAGCCCTGTGCGGATCAATGCTATCAGATCACAGTCTTTCACAACATTTGTTATGAAAACGACATACAGGAACTAAGTTTGAAGCCACCCTTGCTTAGAAGAGGTGGTTTGACCATATGGCCTCCAAAGGTCATGTCAAATTATCTTATGAGCC